AAAAGCCAAGTTTTCCCAGAATTACTCTCAAGTGCAGCAGCAAGTCAAAGAAAAAAACTACAGCATACATCTTTTCAAGCAAGAAACTAAAAAAGCAGGCATTCTTTTTCTTTATGAGTTTTTTAATATTTCTCATAATTAGAGCATGTGGAGCTCATGCACCATAAAAACCACTACAGTTAAGTATATAACTATAATAAGAATCAAAGTACCTACACCAAACAGCGTATCTAGTTAAGCCACAACAGTAAAAAAAACTTACAATGGTCTGAAGCATCAAGTACATTCCCCTGATCATTCCTGAATATTCCATTTTGCCCCATGACAAGAGCAGCATTAGGTGCATTGGCCAAAGCTTCTTCCAGTGCAGCTTTCCACTCGAACAAGTCTTCCGATGTTTCAGCCTAACATATTAGAACTCAAACATGAGACCACTGAACACAACCCAAAGCTTTATACACTAGTGAGCATAATTTCAAGAATGAAATATAGGAATGTGTAGATATAGACACATGTTTGAAACCAACTCTCTAAAGATGAAAATAAAGATGAAAATAAGGCAACTCCGTATAAATAAGAATTAATTAAGTAAATCATTAAGCACTAATTGAGTAATAACAGTTACAGAGGGTGAAGTATAGGTATGACCAGCAATGAAAGGGAGAGGATTCAAAACAAAAGGCGTGAGGAAGATTGGCAGTTGGCACCTTCAGAGTGAAAGCGCGTCCATCACGACCATCAGGAAAGAGCACAGTCAAGAGTTTCTTATCTTCTTTGACAACCACACTGTAAATTCGTTAAGGTGACAATAAGTAACATGTGAGGGTGGATGAACTACAACAAAAATATACCATGAGACGTAAGCAAAAGAAGAAATGTTGATAAACAACAACTAAAGAAGGCTTAATAAAAGCCAACCTGCCTGAACTGTTAAGATCGATGCCTCCAAGTGTTAAATTTACTTCACCACCCTTTTTAGGAGCAACAGTCTGAAATGTACGCCCAGTTAATAAGTATATATATAGGGTTATTTTCATTATTTTAATTAATAAAATAAGAAATAGGGCTAGACCTAGTGCACAGGATACCTGCACTGTGAAGGGTTTGGAACAAGAAAGATGTAAGCAAAGCTGTAGCTACTAAGTATCATAGTACGAAAACATAACAACCCAAAAACACTAGGTTGAAAGATGACCAAGATAATAAATGCATAAACAAGTGAATAACCTCTCTAGCTTTAATGATAAAAAAAAGGCAACCACATAATTGTGTCCCTCACCACACATGGAGCCATAAGCCATTGAGCACACCAAAAGGTATATTAAGTAGCTCAAATAACTAGTACTCCGTATTATAAAACAACGACAACAACATTACCCCGCAAAGGCTCCCACCTATGGTGGGGTGAGGGGGGTCGGATATACGCAACCGTACCCCTGTACTAAAGCACTGAGAGATTGTTTCCGGATGTCTCATGATGAAAATCACGTCGAAAATTTCATGGACTGACCGCTGCTTCATAACAGAGAAGCGATGACAGTTTAGTGAGCCATTCTAATTTATATGGGTATTATGGATCTTAAGAAGTGGTTTAATACTCCACTTTTATAAAGATATATTATCCATTTGCCATTGCGATTGCAAGCAATTCATTACATTTTAATAAATGGATATTATGGATCTTGAGAAGTGGTTACAAGCACAGCATTAGGGACATCAAAAAATATTCTCAGAACTTATAAACGAGATGCCAAGACAAGTGTGATCAAACACTAATGCCTCAAAGTTCCTTTAAGGGAGGCAGAGTGAGAAAAGAAACAAACAAAAAGGACTTTTCACCGGAAAGCATAGTAACTCAACATTAGTAAGAGTGCAGGTTTTAGAAGTAGTTTACACCTTACAGATAAAACAGAAACCGAGATAATGAGATATACATCTTTAAATTATGAAAAGAAGTTTACAGGATCAGTTCTGAAGAAAACCAATGAAGTACGTGTTAAAATGAACCATCTTTTCTTCCATGTTGTCCATCCAATGCCAACTGCAGAAGAGAGAGAAAAATTATGCTCAAAACGTAATTGCAGCAATGGAAGAATTTGAGATTTTTTTTTTTATTTCCCCCTTCTGGTGATGAGTTAGTAACACTAAATCTTATTTACAGGAATTCCAGCATAAGCAACATACATCCAGAGGATATGGATAGTGGTGTACGACAGTCCCTAAGCACCATAACTATATTCCGTGAGATACAGTTCAGGGAAGTGTATATATTTATTTCCAATAAAATGATGTAAAGTGTGATCATGCAGAAATTGACACAACAAGGGTTGGTACTTGAAACAAGACCTCAAAACAAAACTTTTTTAAATGGAAGGGGTGAAATCTGTTACAAAAATACATCCTTTTAGAGAAGTTGCAGCCAAACAAACACAAGCAAGCCGGTTTCTTAACTTCAGTTACATACTACAAAAGACTCCTACAGCTTTCACAATGAGCTCAGGATCTATTCTTATAGTGTGGCATAAGAGGCAACCATAGAAAATTAATAGTTCAGTAACAAAGTATATGGAGAATGAAATAAATTGTAATTCTAGATCTATGTAAAATGAAAAAGGTTATAAATTTTTTCTAAATTGTAGAAATTGACCAGCCAATAAGCACATCAAAAGCTATTAGAAATATGAGAAAGTGCCAAAGTGTTATAAGCTTCTTTATGTAGTTCCGAAAACATAGAGCTTCTTCAAGCAAGAACTAGTGAGTAAGGACAGACCTTTGGATGATAAAAATAAAGGCCCACTTTTGTAAACCTGCAAAGCCAGATTAAGTCCATCAGCCTTGCAGCCGCAGTGTAAGTGTGCAAGTACACATGCAAAACTTAATTTCATGAAAAGGGTAAAAGATCTTCTGATAAAAGCGATGCACCTTATTTACAAAGAGCATAAACATCTGTGTCAGGTGAAAAACATCGAACAATCTTTCGTTTATATGGTAATGCTATTCTAAATATAGGGATTAAACATGTGCAAATGGGTAAAATATTCATCCACAATACTGAGTCAGGAGCAACCAGTCTTTATAAATTGTACTAAATCTGGGTTACACGCGATCAGTTTGGTCAACTGTACATTATAGTTACATTTAAATTACTTTTTAGTCCACTAATGTGTAGTTTCAGTGGCAAAGGGCAGCCTCCATTTTTCTTGTTTATTGTATAAATACAAAAAGGGAAGACTTTATCATATATAATGCAAATATGCAATCCTTTGGTCATGAAAATATAGGAAATCACATATGTTGATATATGCATTTACATTGATGATGATACTAATAAAGATAATGATTACAATGAATTAATTACCTTATTTCCACTACGAAATTGTTGAGCTTGGTTATCATTGCCACCTGAAAGAGGTGGATTGCCACCTGAAAGAGGTGGATTACCACCTTCTCCCTGAAACACAAAAAAAATTAAGATTCAAATGTTGGCGCAAATAATGCACACAGACATCATACGTGATCACAAATTTACAGCAACAGGTATTGTTGGTGTGTCTGATGATACCTGTGAAGCGTCAGAGTTGCGGATAGGCATGGTACTATTCCAAATGGCTGAAAATTGATACCTTGATCTTCGTCACCATCCTACATTTCTCAAGAATCGTTGCCAATTAGGGTTCGGTTTAGCTGAAAGGGGCGGATCAGGGGAAAAGTAGGGAAAAGGAAAGAAAGAACACTTTGCCTACCTTTCAGACTGCAATTACACCGAAATGGAAATTTAATGTTAACGGGTAATCATTGTGGAGAAAGACGGGTAAAGAGAGAAAGCGTTTTCTATCGTCAACTGAAAGTTTCTGCTTTTTTTTTCGTTGAAATTTTTTCTTCTCTTTTTGAAATCAGAGGAAGTGGCGACGGGGTTCCGGAGGAGTTGGGCTAACGGAAACCCGACGGTAAAGGAAAGAAAGCGAGATATCTTCTCCGGCTTTTTTCGAGGGCCGAGGATGGCGGAGACATTTGCCATTGATTTTCGTGCACGTTGGACGAGCAAGGATGTCCTCTGTCCCCAAATTCCCTACGTGTATTTTGGAGGGAGATCCAGCTATCATCGTTTTTTTAGTTGAGCAAGAGTCAACTGCACAACAATCATGACACTAGCCCAGAAGAGTATTTTGTCAATGGCATAAAAGGTTGAATCCCCCATTCCAAAAATAATTTTTTATCGTCACTAGTTTTCCAGCTTTCACGGCCCCTTATTCCAATAACTCACAATCAACTAGGTTAGAATACTCGTCTAAACTAAGATATCAGTAAACTAGGCTAGAATACTGCTTTCACGGTCCCTTATCCCAGAAACTAAACTTTGACCCAACTTTCACGGCCCCTTTATATACCGCTACATACTAAGAAATTGAAAAAATAAAAATTGCAAATGAAAACTTGGAAGACCCAAAGAAACTCATACCCGCGATACCAATTGAGACATACGACATTTTATGTCGGCGGGCCAGATAGCTTGCTCTATAGAAATAGGAGGAATAAGAACATCGCACCCGAGATTACGAAAAGTGAAAGGTCATGAGATAGATAGGACTTGATGGGATACGAATGGTAATTAAAATTTGTTCCTTCGCAAGAGTATGATAGGCATATAGAAAAAGCTTAAGTCGCCGACTAAATAAAACATGGGTGGGAGTCGTTTTTAACAAGCGTACTTTAAGGTCAGATCTGTTTAGTAAGCATATAGTTAAGCAACACATCGTGTTTACTTTGCACGTATTAATAACCTAACTATGCTACTAACAGCTAAGTAAACATGTCGTTAGTTTTTCTTATTATTAAAAACTCAGTGCGTCAAATCAAAAGTTGCGTTTTTGCTGGAAAAGGCGATTAATAAGTCTGATAAGGCAAAAAACAGATTTACCAAACTGTCTCTGAGTCCGGTCTAATTTGAACTGTTTGATCTAATTTACTACGGGGAGTATGATAGATGTTAATTTTGAAGCCCGGTCTTGTAAATGTTTTGATCATGCGTCTTCAATTGTTCAAATTTCACTTGGTAAGTCTAGTGAAATCAGTTCAATAAAAAGATCCTAACCCCCGGCAGTTGTTTCCTCCCGGGCCAAAGGCAATGGCGACATTAGTCTCCGCATCTCTCAACAACCCCTTTTCATACTCGCATATCCCCATTTCTTCGAGCCAACCCGTTTTATTGTTCCCCAATTTCCTCCATTTGACCACAGTTCATCGTCACCCTAACAAGAGAAGCTCTTCTCGTGATCAAAGAGGGCATAAAGCTTTCGCTAAAAATTCAAGCAAAAACGAGGAAGAAGAAGACCCATCAATCCCCTCATGGGCCAAACCCGGTTCTCAAGATCCGCCTCCATGGGCTAGAGATGAGCCCCAAAAAGAATCTCTCAGCTTCGAGATTCCCTTCTATGTGTATCTTCTTGCCTCAAGTATCACTGCAATTGCTGCAGTAAGAATATTTCTTGATCCATGTTTGGCATATATTGCAAAAAAAAAAGCATCTTGACGGATTCTTGAACCGGGCTCTTTTTGGGCGCAGGTCGGGTCGGTTTTTGAGTATGTGAATCAAAAGCCGGTTTTTGGTCTTTTGAACTCCGATAGTGTATTTTACACTCCTCTTCTTGGGTTCTTTGCTTTTTCAGGCATTCCCACTTCTGTAAGTCTTTTATTATTGTGTATTTCCCATTTCTAGCTCTTCTATTGGCTTTCCTACATTAAGTTTGATTTCTCCATGGCGGTTTTTGTTTCTTATGGGGTCATCATCCTAATGATGAATTACGAGTAGTAAATAGCTTTTTATAATATGTGTCTTCTATGTAATAAGGATCAATTAATATGACTAATTTTTAAGTTTAAAAGAATATATTACACTTTCAATATGATAAGCAATAAATATTCATTGACTGTGTTTTAATCTTATCCCCATAGACACACTTTAGAAATACTGGTATTAAATTAAAAATAAAAGTTGCAGTGTTAATTTGAATGTTTGGAGCTCTTTCCATGTCAATGCACTGGAGTTTGAAATCCCATATTCTAGTTGGTGCCCATAAACCTAAAACAGTGTGAGGGGCTGTGTTATTTTATTGACCTTTTTTTTTAATTATAGCTGAAAGAGTTGCATATACCTAATAACTAAGACCTTGAATAGCCAAAATGGCTTCTGAATTAGGTAAATTCGCAGAATTTTGTGGCTTAAATGGCTGGATTTGTCTTGAAATATCTAAAAATCTAATAAAATTATTACTCCCTCCGTCCCACTTTAAGTTTCCCACACGATTTACGATGTTTGACCGGCCATAAAGTGAACTGATCCTTGTAATTAATAAAATTATTTTTAGTAAATAAAATTTACATATTCAGAAACTACATTAAAACTGCTACAAAACCTGCAAAAAATAATTTAAGTTTCATAAACTTTTGATATATAAAGTAAAAGATTAAGAACAATGCACGTTGACCGGAGAATAGTGTACGGGAACCTTTAAATGGGACGGAGGGAGTATTATTTTTTTATTTATCAAATCATGCTATTGTTTTCTATAGTTAAGCTTTTTCTGTTTTTTTGTAGTTTTCTTCCTTTTGTTATAGCAAACACATGTTATTGTTTGGTAAGCAAGAAAGAGGGGGTGATGTGTGATTAGCTTATCTTTGATTTGGTTTAATACGAAAACAGACCATCAAATGCAGCATACAAAGAAGTGTCATGGTTGAACACTTGAATAAGAAAACAGCCATACTGAACAAACAAATCAAAACTGGATCAACCATATCTGAAACGGACCAAAGTTGACCAGTTAATAGGTTGGTTGGTTTATGGTTTATAGATTTTACTTCAAAAAACAACCAAATCCACAAAACATGCCAAAAACGAACAGTGGCTGAAATGATGGAATTGAAACCTACCAAAACTGACATATGTTGCTCAATTCTCTACTTGGATTACAAATTATAAAAACCGAACTTATCACATTGAAACTGACCGTATTAAACCGATGAACACCTCTTAGCTAATATAATACTACCTTTAATTGTACTATAATTGCAGGCATATCTTTGGTTCAAGTCGGTTGAAGTTGCTAACAAGGAGTCAGATGAGCTAGACAAGAGGGATGGGTATCTTTAGCTTCTTATACTCCATTGCCTCTGATAAAGGCTCCTCTTACTTTTTTTGGAATGGCGAAAAACAAGGTTCCAAAAAGTAAGAATTGTGTGGTTCATATTGTTTCTTTTCTTTGTATCCCTGTATAACTCTCATTCTATGAACTACGGAAACTCTTAGAACTCCCCAAACACTCTTCTTTTATTAAAAGATGATGTTGCTCGTTTCACGTTTCTCCATGAATCTCACGTTTCCATGCAACATAGATCTCACTCGTACGGTTCGACGGTTCTCATTGAATGTGTATAAGTTAAAGTGACAACTTCTAAAAAGGAATGGAGTAAATGACAAAATGTAACTCATCTTATAAGGTGGATGTGGCTAATATATCATCCCTCATTTCCTCCTAATCTGAAACGCTTAGAGCCGTCAAAACGGGCCGAAACCCGCGGGTTGGCCCGTTTCAACCCACTTATAAGTGGGTTAGGGCTATCATTTTCAGGCCCGATTGTTTTGCGGGCTCAGTGGGTCAACCCTAACGGGTTGCGGGTTTAGCGGGCCAACCCGTACGGGTTGCGGGCCAACCCGCGGGCTGAGGACAAATATCATTTATTCTATGTATTTTTAATTCTATTATGAGAAAATAACTTGAAATAATACCAACTATCTTCGATGAACCAATAATAATATATACTTTAGAAATAACTTTTAATAATACCAACTATCTGGATGTTAACCAAAAATAAAATAGAGACACTTTTCTACAAGAAATTCAATCATTTAAGACGTCAAAAACGAAGATCAAATCATCAAATAATTGATATTTGAAAATATGATCACTTATTTGATATTTTGATATTAGTTTTTGATGAATTGAATAAATAAAATTTTGGTGAAAATTTGCTATATATCACTTTTGATAGATAATCAAATAGTTGGTATTATTAAAAATTATTTCTCAAGTTGGTATTATTCATGGTTCATGGAAGATAATTGGTATTATTTAAAGTTATTTTCCTTTCTATTATTTCTATATAGGACAATTATATCTTCTATTAAACTCTCTTTACTTCTAGTTCTTTCCTCACTTTTAATACTAATGTATTTTGTTCATGATATCCAAATCAGACTAAATAGTTTATTTTTAATATATTCGTTGTTATACTGTTTTATAACATAAAGACTTCTATGCTGTTTTATTCATGATATCCAAATCAGACCAAATTAATGAGAAATTAGGTATTTGCGGTATTTCAGCTTAAGTATACCCACGATAATACATTAAAGCTTTTAAGTATTTCATCATTTAACTTTTTAAGTATACCAATTATACCCACGATGATACATTCAAACATACCACCAAAGGATTTTCAAGCACTAATTTTTTCCTTTTTAATTGTGTTTGGATTTTAATTTAGATATTTAATTGCTATTTCAATTGTGTTTGGATTTTAATTTAGATATTTAATTGTTTTTTTGTTTTGACATTTATGGCCCGCGGGCTGGCCATAAATGACACATGTCAATGTGACTCTCGGGGGGGAGGGGTAATTGTATCAATGGATCATGTATAATTAATATATATATTAATTATACATTGTATAAATTCAAGAGTGTGATGGGTTCAATAATAAATATATATAAGTATATATTTATGTATAACTGCAATACGTGTAATCTTTGGAAACAGTTTATCTCCACTACGTGTGAAATAAATCGGCAAAACAGAAAAATTAGTTCAATTTAGATGAGTCAGCATGTTTAACATGCTTTCGGAAATTCGAAAGTGGGTTTAAAAGTGTTGGTTCCATGTCACCATAACAAGGCATACGAAAGAGTGTATTTGAGATCAGAAAAGCTATCACACTTTTGAAACTCAATATGTGGCGAATTTTCACTTCGTTAACAGAGAGCGTTGGAGATGCTCTTAGAGATGCTCTTAACCTAACATTAGGAAGGAGATTAAAGGTCAATTCATATAAAGTGGTTTAATTTAAAAATTGATTTGACTTTTTAAATAATAATCTGATTTTAACAAAAATCATATCAAATTTTATAATTTTTTTATCTTTCATATTACACCAATATGTCATATATAATTTTGTTTCAAAAAAATTAGTATAATATCTATACAATAAATCACCAGAAACATCTTTGGCTACCGCATGCACATCAATGTGTATCTAACACACAACAACTAATATCAAACGCACAACAACCAATATATAACACACAATATGTATCAGAAAAACTAAAACAAGTATCTTAAGCACAAAATTGAATATATAATGCACAAAGAACAATATCTAATGCACAACAATTAAAAACTAATTAGTATCTAATGTATAAGGATTTTACACAACTTAAACTAATATATAACACACAATAATCAATATCTTATGCACAATACCAATATACACTCGAGAACCAGTAACTAACGTATATTATATAGAGTAATCTTCCGGTTAGGAATTTCCTGACTGGAGCGTCATCCGGCCTCCTACTTTTGGGGAGGTTCCCGGTGGTATTTTTGCTCACATTTTTTGTGTATGTTCTTCATCACGTCTAGTTCATCCATACCAAATTTGAGCAAAAAAATTCAATCGGGAAGGCCGTCAAATGATTTTTGAAAGTTAACTGGTCCGGAATATACATATAAAACGCAGTTATCTTTCAAAAATCATTTGATGGCCTTCCCGATTGAATTTTTTTCTCAAAATTGGTATGGATGAACTAGACTTGATGAGTAACATATACAAAAAATTTGAGAAAAAAATACCACCAGGAACCTCCCCAAAAGGAGGAGGCCGGACGGGTGTCCGGTCAAGAAATTCCGGACAGGAATTTTCCTCTATTATATATACAATCACGGTAAGTATTTACCGCACAAGAATCAGTATTTCACAAACAACAACCTATATTTACCCCACATGAACCGACCATCTTACTATCAACTATGATATAACACACTACAATTGGTATTTGATGCAAATTAAATGAATAGAAAATAAATTATAATTTAATGGAGAAATTTAAAAATAAAAAAGAATACTTTGTTTCTAAGCATGGACAACTAAATTCACGTAAGGAATGAAATTAAAAATTAATATAATATGCACCTTATTATATTACCTTCCTAAAAATGTGGAACGTGGAACATCTATGGAATGCATTAATTGCAGCAACGGTTGACCAATAAAGAATAATACGAAAATGCCCTCTAGGGCCATTTAATCCATAGCATAGCAACATGTATTATGGAGGGTGGGGATTTGTTCTCACTTCTCACATTAAGGGATGTTCTCATTTGAACCAATATGTGTGTGTGTGTGTATAGAGAGAGAGAGAGTAGTGTTCCTGTCAGGACCTCCAAAAACGGACCTCCGTACGGACCTCGGCATTTGGGCTCCTTCCCGGTGGAATTTTTTGATGAAAATGTTTGAGCATGTTCTTCATCAAGTCTAGTTTACCCATACCAAATGTCAGCTAAAAATCCATCAGGAAGGCAGTCAAATGATTTTTTGAAGTTAACTGCGCACTTTATATACATATAAAATGCAGTAAACTAGACTTGCTGAAGAACATGCTCAAAAAATTTCATCAAAATATTCCACCGGGAAGGGGCCCAAACGCCGAGGTCCGTACGGAGGTCCGTTTTTGGAGGTCCTGACATGAACTTTCCTCTCTCTCTCTCTCTCTCTCTCTCTATATATATATATATATATATATATATATATATATATATATATGTATGTATGTATGTATGTATGTATGTGTGTGTGTGTGTGTGTGTGTGTGTGTGTGTGTGTGTGTGTGTGTGTGTGTGTGTGTGTGTATGTATGTATGTATGTATGTATGTATGTATGTATGTATGTATGTATGTATGTATGTATGTATGTATGTATGTATGTATGTATGTATTCCCGTACTGGAACTGCCTCATCTCCTACATTCCAGCACGGGGAAATGGAGATGAGGCATGCGAGAGGTACAGAGATGTAGGAGATGAGGCAGTTGCTTTGTTCAAAGCCCCTTACAGTTTTCGGAGCTCGGCACTTCCAGGATTAGAGACCGGTGTCCGGAGTATATCCGAGCTTAGCTGTGGAACAAGGAGGGTTGCAATTGGCTGGCATGATATGCAGACTACCTGTGATGAGGCGAAGAAAGTCGAGCAATGATGATCTTGGAGTTGTTCTCTGTGATTGATTTTTCGCTTGAGTTTGTATGTATGCATCATTTTTATTCTTTCAATTTACTTAGTCATTTTTCATTCAAGAATACTTGGAGAACTAATCGGGGATCTAGCTCCCCACTTAGGTCGTGAGAGGCGGAAGGTTGGCAAGGCCGACCTTGACTGCTCCCTGTTTGGTAAGGCGGGACTGACCCGCACACTATCGATCTAGGAACGATGAGTGTGCAAGTTGTTCGGCTAACGGTCAGACAACGGATGTACGAGAGGGGCTCAGGGCGCGACCTCTCGCATACCTTCGGCCCGGAGGCCGGTCTTACACCTTGACGTGTACAGCTAGTTTCATACTTACGAAAAATCTGGTTATCCCTTTTCTGAAAGTCAAACTGAAGTCGGCCAAACATAAAGGCGAGGCCCTGCATGATCAGACCAGAACGGACCCGCACCACTGACCATATCAAACGAGTGTGCGGGATGCACGAGAGGGGATCAGAGCATGACCTCTCGCATACCTTCTGCCTGAAGACCGGTCATATAGTCGTCGCACCATTGATTGGATCAAATGAGTATACGAGTTGTTTAGACAACAACATCGGACAACATATGTACGAGAGGGCCTCGGGGCACGACCTCTCGCATAGCTTTTCGACCCGGGGGCCGATCTTACAGTCGCCCTCACCGAGCATCAAATCCGAGACTTAGAAAATACTTTGAAAATTTCCTTGTCCGAGGATCGAGCCGCGGTCGACTAAACACCGAGAGCGGGGCGTTGTAGTGTTTTTTTGTTGTTTTTTTACCGCCGCCCGTTCATTTCCAAGTGAGGTCGGACCTAAACTTTTTTTAAGTAATGAAAGAATTTGAGAACTTGATGAATTGCTCCGAGTTCTGCACTTCGTGCTTGATCACAATCTTGGTATGCTCCGCTCATAGGATTTGACAAGGTGCCCTGCACTCCGTACTTGATCACAAGCTTGCCTGTCGTGGTCTTCAACGCATAACATCAATCAGGAGCCATGCACTCCGTACTTGATCACAAGCTTGCCCTGCACTCCGTACTTGACCATTTGTCCC